CCTTTGTGCCGCCGCGCCGCGAGCGCGAAAGCGACCCGCTCTCGATCGGCGGCTCGATCTTTGCGGCACGAAACGCCGGAAACGTGAGGGATCTGCTCGTCAATGTCGCGCTCATTCGAAAGAAAGTTCCCCGAAAGTTCGCGCGCGTCCGATCGATTCGCGAGGCGACGCTCCACGGGCGCGAACAATCGATGTCTTCTCTGAATTGTCCGCGTTTTTCTCGTTTTTTTTTCCGCGAGACCGAGAAGAATCCCCGACCTCGACGCACGTTCGACAAACTTTCGCGTCAGTTTTCCGCAGCTTAAACGGTTCTTTCAGCTTTCTGACTTCTCCCATAGATCCCGTAGATCCCGTAAAAAGAATAAAATCGTTAAGCCAGCCCTTACGCGGGATGCGTCTATGTATCGCGTCGACGGGAGACGCGTCTCTATATCACGGCAATCGCCGAACGCAACGCGATTTATGTAACCGAAGTTCGCGTATCTCGTTGGTGGGAGACAGGCGCGAGTCGATACTCGTGCACGGGAAGCTTCTCCCGTGGTCGTCGAGTCCACGCTTGATCGGCTTGATTTACTTTTACCGCGAGAACGTTGACAAGGTCGCGTTCTCTCCTCTTATACTTTTGCGCGCGCGTCGCAGCGAGACGAGTTTCGCCAGGCGGACCTGACGACGTGCTCGTCGATAATCGTGCCGGGATAAAACAAAAGAAAACTCGCCGCCCTCCCGCGCGTCCAGAAGAGGAATGGTATAGAAGTCCCGCAGTTCTGAGCGAAACTCCGCTTACTCTCGATGGAATTACTTTTACAACTACTTTCCGCGAAAGAATCATCGCTATCTCTTCCCCTGATATCGATATAATTAAGAATAATACACGTAACTGCACTCAGCACTCTCTCTCTCTTTCTCTCTATTCTTAGTTATACAATTATATAATAAAAAATGTATAATATGCATTCTCGTGCATTAGAAATAATATAAATACTTTCAATTCTTAATACTTGATGCGAAAAAGTTGATTATGAAAATAATAGATGACTAAAGAGAATCACACAATAATTAAGAATATTTGATTCGAAATATTTGCATCGTAAGGATTGAAAATCTTCCTGAAAATGTGAGGATAATTATGAATACGATACATATAATTAAGAATCATACAATAATTAAAAATATAATAATTAAACATGTATAATACACGTTTTTATGTAATAATTCATATGCAAGCGTGCGTTAGCTCTGAGCGCTTAAATTGCGCCGATCGCTTCTCGAAGAAGCGAAGAAAGTTAAATGCGAATTAAACGCGATATTCTAATTCTCATTTTTATTAATTAATGGAGGTATTAACGAGGGGAGAGAGCGTAATGGCGTAATGGCGCATCGTGCTCCAGTTGGCCGTGTACATTGGCATACTTTTGCTAAATTATTTATCTCCCGCTCGATCTTACATTAAGTACGGTCTACATAATAGAGAACTCCGTATTATATTTTTTTCTTATTAATACCGATACAACTTTTTCGTTAAATTGCAGATATACGTGGAAAGGCAGAAGGATGACCCAAATGTAAGTATCGTTATGTCTGCTGTATCTATATCATTATACGATAATACATTGTCATCTAATTATGCGATAATGTATTATATAATTAGCAATTAATGTGTTATATAATGTAATTATATGTTAATTACATGATAGTGTATTATTATATAATTGTTTTAGAGAAACTCTCTTTCTCGATGTTTTAATACATTAAACGTCTGACTTCGTGAAACGTATAAATACGTACGGCGTGCTGAATAATTTCCGCGCTGCGGGTTTGCGGCTCGATACGATTTATTTCGAATTACGACGGGATTCGAGATTCAGGAGGGAACAATCGATACAGTGAGACTTTTACAGGAGTCCGTGTGCGCAGCTTCTGGAATCTCGTAAGCCACGCCGCGCACAACAAACTTCGGCCAGACACTTCGTCTCGCGGCAATTAGTGCCGCGAATGTTATTTATGCATATCAAGAGAAACTTCACCGTTATACGTATCTAAAATCGAATTATTAATTCGATTATAATTCCAGCAATTGCTCTAAAGAAACGAAATGTCTTTGACATATAATTTCATTACATGAAATATTGATTAATGATTTTAAGTCAGCTTTTTATGATCGAACCATCTATTTGCTTCTGTTTTGCATTATCGACGACGCTACCAGATGCGCATATAAAAGTATCAATAATACACAGTTACTCCACAAAGACTTCGACACACGCGACTCGCCCTAATTCCGATAGTTACGTGGTTCTAGTTTGAATGTGTTCGGACTCGATACGTAATCGTGATGCGTCTTGTTACAGAACCCAGACATTCTTGGCCAGATGGAAAAAATTCAGGTGTACATCGTATCTTTGGGAAGATGCCAGGTAAGCGCGGACACAATTGATTTTCTTTCATGTCGCATGCACGTAGTGATTCACATCTATATGTCGCCTTTTCTTAAGTTTCCATTACGAGACCCTGCAATTTCACAATCAATCTCTTGGCTGATCGATCGCGCGATTTTGAACATGAAAATGCATGTCAAGTTAAACGTGTTTGTAATGATTAAGAATGATTGTGCTCTGAAGACTAATAATCCCATTTATTGACTAATCTATATGTAAACATATGCTATCTATATATATATATACACACACAAAGAAAAATTGTAGTTTTGTAAGTAAGTTACATTATCGTTCAGGGCTATTATTGATCCAAAGTGTTGGCTGCTGCATAGCAAAAACTTTGCCATGCCTTGCTTAACTTTTACAAAGTACAAGTCTTATCATGCCGCAGTATCACTTGCGTGGCACTGACTGTGAAACGACTAAATATATTGATCATGTATTACAACGGGCTGTTACGGTGAGTTACGAAAGTTTCCAACGGAAAAAGAGAGTGTGAATAAAATTTGTCAATTTCATTTATTCCAAGATTAAGCGAGCGGGAATATTTAATGGTAATATTTGTCGTACTTCTTGCACGTGTAGCTATGTTTGCTCTCGTCCCTTACCAATACGACGCTCTCTTTCCTTCAACGGTGTTGATAACAAGCGAGATAAATAGTTGGGATGTAATGGACGGGGGATAGACGGGGATGATACGCAGAAGCTGCGAGAGTGGGAAAGCGCGACGCGCGGGGTATACGGGGGTGAGCGAACGAGGGAGGGAGGCGACAATTCTGAAAGAAGGAGCGAGAGCGACTTGGAGCGAAGGAGAGAAGCCGGGAGGCAGAGACGGAGCGGTTCAAAATCAATAAAATGTCCTGCGAAAACGTTTTCGGCTCTTTACAAAATCTCCGCGTCTTCTTTCATCCCTCGCTCAACTTTCCGCCCCGCTCTCGCAGCTTCACGACTGTTTTTCTCGTTTATAATATTCTCCGAGCCATTTTTTCCAACAGTTATCCATTTCTCGTTTACTTTAAAAGTGGTGGAAACTTTCCGGAGCTTTGCGAAAGTTAACTTTTGAACATATATATAGAACAAACGCGTATTTACATCATAATTTTAATCGTACAACTGTACGTTAATATTCTATTTCTTCGTAACATTTACATCTGTTTGTTGTACGCTTGTATTTTTATATAAAATTATAACAATTGTCCGAATATTTGTACATGTATGTGTTTGCTAAACGTGCTGAAGTTAACGCGCTTGTACAAGCTGTTTCTAAGGATCTCTTTTAGAAATCACCGATATTAAGTAACGCTGCTATGTGCTATATATATCTCTGGTTGTTAATACACAGAAGCAGATTGTGCAGCGGCTGCGCAAAGAGGTAGACGCGTTCAAGGCAGACAACGCGAATGGATCGAAAGTTTCTATACCGTCTCTCCTCGGGCTCAACAACAACAATCACATTACAAATAATAATGAAACGAAGCATGAAGCAGCTGCCAATGGTTTCGAGACGAAGCCTTCGAAGGAGGACTACGAAGAAGTTGTCAGGAATGGCGATGTTCATCGTTCGCGGCCGCGAGATAACGATTGTGCGAAGTAAGCTTGTGTGCGCTGAAAAAATAGCAAATGAATAACAAGTCCCATTTAATTAAGATATAAATTAATTACGATTCAAATTTGTTCACAATCATGCAAAATTACACGAAAATGTCTATCATTGTAACAAAAATTTTGGAATTTTTTCAATTGGAAGTTTCTTTACAGGCTACGTCCTAGCTCGGTGGAAACCGTTTCCGGCGAAGACGACGTCGTTGAGGTATCGTTGGACGAAAATTCCGACGATAAGCAGGAAGAGGTGCAAAAAGAACACGACATCGAATCGCCCGAGAAGTACAACTACCTGAATTGCCTCGGGCTTATTACCAAGTCCAAATGTATGGAGCTGCAGAACAGAAGAGTGGAAAGAAAACGTCGTAGCACAGCTAATCCGCAATTTGTATACTCCATGTTCGAGCAGCCATCTGTAAGTGTGTCAATGCTTTTGTTTGTATATGTTCTTACATGTGAAATATGGGTTCCCGAAGCGACAATCATTTAATTTCATATATTCCTTCTCACTCACAACCTTTAACTCTCCAATCAATCCTTATAAAAGCATACACGAGATCGGGATTGAACTTGGAATTCGCTGACTATCAATAGCCACTCTTATACGAAGTCACGCGTCATTCCCATTCTTTTGTTTGTACATATAGATACTTGGACATTAGATTAGCATGGCCTTTGCGAAAACATAACACGCAAAGATAAATTGAGCTATTTACATATTTAAGAAATAAATTTAAGATGCTTCAGATGGGAATAAGTCCTTACAATTTGATATCGTATTATTTTGAATCTTATTTAATGACTAGTATTTTGACACATATATTTTAGAAACGGAAGAGGCATTCTTATTTGCAATCTGGAAACGCACCTCACACTCGACAGACAACTGCACGTATGAACGGCCCGTCGCCACCACCTAACAAAACTCAACCAACCAAATCTACCTCGCCACCGGCGCAAACGGTAACGAAGTCGTTAATCCCAATCCAAAAGTCCACTACTAGGCCAAATATCCTAAGAAACGCGGACAGCAAAGTCTTCGTGAATAAAAGCAAAATAGAAGACAACCAAATGCGAGTGTCTGTATCTAGTGCCAAAACTGTTCAGTCGATAGGTAACAAGGCTGTTCGCATACCCGGATTACCATCTAGCTTGACCATTGAAAGGATTGGGAGTGACTCTATCGTGTGCATCTCTTGTGAAAATCCAGGTAAAAACATCGCGTCAATCTTAGAAACGTTATTAGTTTCTTTACAGTCTTATTGAAAAAATATGCGAATGCATACATGTATACGCATATTTAATGCATATGCACATACGATTTGTCATTTCGCAGGTTCGTTAACAACATGTAGAAATTGCTCAAGTAACTATCACATCTCGTGTCATACCCGATCGACGCCACCACCCAGAACTTGTCCAAAATGTGTATCATCAATGGATGAGGAAGAAGACATCGAAAAGGATGAAGAAGCAGAGGAAGAGGGCGACAATAAATTGCTACGTTACAAAAAAGACGAAAAACTCGGTAAATCGTCCTCGGTTTCTTGAAAGAAGAAATCCTTCTTCAATAGCGCTAAGCGTGTGATTGACAAAAAAGTTCTTGTTCCTACAACTTTAGTTGTGAAAAGTTCGCGATAAGCTTATGTCATTTTACGGCAGCAAGTCGGTTGGGAATTATTGATTTTCTAATTATGAAGGAAAACCGACGATTTTTTTTGCTGCCTTCTCAGTTAACGGATTGTAGAGTAACGGCAAGGTGCATATACGTAAACTTGGTCGAGATAAAATCATGAAGGACCGGTAAATCGGCGCAAGCACATTATTTTAAATAAACACAGGAATTTGTATAACATGAGTCCATAACTTCTAGATTTAACATACAACGAGGTATCGCAGCGTTGCCGCAGACTTAATTGAGCGTAGGCACGCACGCACTGAATAAACGAGAGAGGCAACCTGCCGGAAGAAGTGTCCGCGTGTGAGACCGGCTTCTCGATTACGGCCGAAGAATTTGCAATTAAGAAGAACTTTTTGGTCGATCGTCCACGATAGGGCACAAAAAAACAACCTGTGTATTGAACGCAAAATATCTTGCAGAGGAAAAAGAGAGAGAAAGATATGAGCTGCGCGAGCGAAACTCGGATCTGAGATTGCAGGTTTACGAGTTGGAAAAACGCTCACAACTACTCGGCCAGTCACTCCAGGTTCGTCCTGTGGCCTACATAGAGACAAATTATAAAGTTAACTTTTATTTGGAATGCTCTTGAGTTGATCGAATATGTAAATTGCGAACAATTTTCATTCTTTTGTTTTTTCATCCAGAAGAACCTGCAAGATCTCTGCGTTTTCGTTATATATTTTTTTTTCGTTTATGTGATATTTTATGAAGGCAAGTCGATTCTGTTGTCTAAGATATTTCTGTAAATATGAAAATGATCTCTTATATTTAATATGTAATATATATACATAGTAATGTTTTATTGTTTTACAATGTTTGTTAAATGCACTAATTTAACTAAGAATCGACCAGTCTTGAATATTTTTATTTATTGATCGTTTTTTCCATGTTCATGAATATGAATCATCAGCTTCATTTCTTTAATCATTTATTTCCTTCGCATTAACGATCTATGATATGATTTGCTCACTGCATTGCACTGCAAAAATATAGAGCGCCTGATTGTTCAAGTATAATTTCCTCTTTGTTATTATTGAGAATAGACGGAAATCTTATGTAACATCTAGATTTATTTGCCGATTATGCTGAAATATCATATTTAAAGATTATTCGATTATATATACGTTATTGTACATAAAACATCGGATTCGAAAATTTTGTTACAAAACATTTTTAGAGTACTAGGAGAATTTCTCGACTATAGAAATTCTTTCTCTACAAAATCCCACAGTCAATCAACACGTTTGAAAAATTTATCGTATACGAAAAATGAAATAGTATTCTAAGAGCGATATTTCATATGCATCTAATGGCAAGCGTGATATATTTGTAATATTTTTTATTAGTGATATAATTTTCTAGATATTTACCATACATTTCAATATTTGCCTTGCCGGAAAAATTCTCAGAAAAGAAGAGCCAATTATATATGCGCATGAGTTAATCTTTTTGCGACTGTGACATGCTCCGATCGTTACGTAACATGAAAAAATATTACTTTTTTATATAAAATTCAAGTACATCTTACACATTTAAGCTTTATTACATCATGTTTATTAATAATCTTTACAAATCGACGAGGATTTGTAAAGTCTATGTCGTGATTTTTTTCTAGATCGCATGCAAATTAGAAATACACTATTAGTTATTTTTATGTTAGAATCATGTAACACGCGTAATCTCTCATAATTTATTAACTCGCATGTAATATAGATGCAAAAAACGCACCATATATTATACACCCAAGACATTTATGTATGACATACAAAATTTATATTATTTAGCTCTTTTTTTCATAGCGAAAATTTTTGGCAAGCAATCATAGCAGCTTTCGTATATAGTAAACGTACAATAAAAGTTGCTATATTAGTAAGCCGTTCTGGATGGAAACAAATGCAAATGTCCATTTTCAATGTTTATAATTTATTTTGTAGGCAGCTTTAAAAATTTATCTGTCAAAAGTTAAAACACCATTCCTGCAAGTTGAATTTTAGTTAAATTTTATGAAATATACGCGAAACTATTCCGCAAAAAGATAAAAGAGCTTTATCGTATTTGATATATACTTTGCGTCTAGATTTTTTGAAGATGTTTTATTTCTCAAAGTATTTCAAAATTTATTTTGTATTATAAAATTCATAATTTTACAAATTATAAAATTAAAATAATGTTCAATGATTTGTAACAATATTTTTTATCTTGCGAAATCACATTTATTTCTCATATGCGTGAAGAGCATGTGCTAAACAACTATCTTCATCACAATCGCATTTATAACATGTATATATTCAAAGATAAAATTGGGGTGGACATTTGTATATATTTCCTTGTTAGTAACAAAGTTTCACGCTACATTTGAAGTGCCTTTCTCGGTAAAATATTTAAAATATGTCTTCTTTGCAATAGCTGCAACAGCGAATGCGTCAGGATTTATTGGGGAAACAAGAGAAGACCCAAAGGTCTATAAAACGTCTGGTGGACTTCATAAAGTTGATACAACTCAGAAAAAACGCATCCTCTCCACCGCCTTCGACGTCAATCAGCTGCCTGCCTCAACCTTCCTCATCCCGATCACCACAAACGATATCTCCGCCTCAAACATCAACAAATCAGAAGACCTCAGTAAGCTCACCTCGATCTTCGATACCGAATACCGACAAGACACCGTACATCGCAACCATCACGCCGTCGATCACCATTCACGACCGAGCGTCACCTGTGTCCAAGAAGACCAGGTGTCCTACTCCTACCAATTGTCCGGTACCACCGTCCAGCCAGAAAAGCATCAATCATATCTCATCGTCAAGAAAATCACCGAGCCGACTGGAAGGTCCAATCAGTCTCCTAGCGGTGAAACCGAAGACCAAAACCGCTCCACAGTTTTCAACTATCAATTGCCGACCAGTTGCAGCACTACCATTCAGACCGGCCTCCAACCCGTCGTCACCCATTCCATGTTCTACGATCGTAACAACTGTAAGAAACAAACCGATCGTACAGCCCCACACCACCATGTCACCGTATCAAAATTGTCAAATTCTCTTCACTCCGTCTCGAACGACCATCAGCTGGACCGAGCAACCCTCAACGGCAGGAAGCCCTGGGCCAAACTCACACACGGCAAACTCTATATCAATCAGTCAACCAGATCAGCCGCAGAAATCTTATTGTCTCCTTACGGCGATACCGAGAGGAGCGGCAACGAACAGCAACGGCCAAACTCAACCGGATCAGCGGAGGAAGCAGCAACAACGACGAATCTCGACGATCGTTGCAGCAAGCATCGATCAAGAAACTTCATCCACTCACTGTTCCCAGGCCATAACAAGTCCCATACCATCACCAGTTGTACACACGAGTCACGAGGCTCCGGCTCAAACGACCGAGACTGCCCGCTCTTGCGACAGCAGCTCTGTCGCGAGGAACACGAATTGGAGCTGCACGAGCAGTCAGACAGCAAACCAGCAGCAGTCCAGCTCCAGCGGCGCGCTCTCACGCGGTTCTTCGAGCACGTGAAATTGGAAGAAGCGCATATATCAGCGCCACTTAGAACAAAGCTAGCACACAAGGATGAGGTCAGTGATGACGACGATGACGACGATGACGACGACGAGATTGCCCGGGAAGACAGCCCGCGCAACGAACAGTGCGATGACGGTGGTGCCGTTGCTGAAGCTCCACTGTTGACGTCGTGCGACTTGGACGAAGACCGCTTGATCATTCGCGTTCCTTGGCTAGCCGATGACTCGGGAAATGCCTGTGACGATGACAATGTCACGAACAAAGCACTCGTCCGTCGTCTTTCAGACGCAGCCTTGACGCATTCCGACGATTACGCCGGCTATGAGCTCACTCGCGTTAACCAGCAATCCTCGGTGACTCTACGGCATTCGGCGGAGCGCGAGGACGATCGATTGACGGCGACGGCGACGGTGGCGGCGGCACTGCGCATTGCCCAAAACAATATTTCGGAGCTTCGTAACGAGGTCTCAGTTCCTGACGATAAGGCTGACA